AACAACCTGTACCATTACGATCGAATTGATTTAAAGCTTTGCAATTTTAATACCTAAAGCCATATACCTAATTCAACCTTTTTGTTTCCAAAGAAATGTAGACGAAAGTTTTTAGCTAATCTTTTCAGAACGAATCAATATGAATCTGGATGTATCTTTCAATTCATTCTCATACAAATTCTCAAACGAAATCGTAATTTACGAAACTCGGATGCGTATACATTCTATTAAAACATGTTAGTTTTTTTGTTTCGCTCAGCACAGAACAAATCAATTTAACTTTAATCGAATGAAAGTCGATATTACTCAAAAGAAATACATCGATTCGCACTTCTACCAATTTTTCTATTGATAAATTATCCTTCTATGTCAAATATTCAATTAAAATGAGTTTGAAGTTAGCTCTTTTTCTACTTTTTCCGATTAATCATTAAAATGAGAATCACGTTTTACTCAATATTCATAAATTTCGATAGAAATTCGAAATCTTCGATTATCCGGTATATATATTTCTATTGTCTTTTATTTGTGTGCTATTAAAAATCATTTCAAGACAATAGATAAGCATATAGAATAAAACAAATCTACAAGGATATAATTGATTACAGAGTATTTCTTAAAGATTAAAAAAAGTTGAAAAAAAATCTTTTGGTGACGATGGCAAAGTTAGGTTTGTAGTAATATATCGACAAATATTTTTTGTTTATTGTTAAGAACGAAACTGATTTAGAAAAAAAGAGTGTTTAAGAAACTATTGTTGACGCATTTATTTATTCATTCACTCTAAATCATGGTTAAAATAAAATGATCCTTCATCAAATCTCTTGCTATCAAAATGAACGAAATAAATATGTTATTCGGAAAATGTTGGCCTATTTCTTAATTTGTTGACCGAACGAATTTATGAAATGTTTGAGATACATCAAAAAGGTGTGTAACTATGAAGCCATAAGCATAAAGATCCATTCAAGATTAACAAGACGTTATAGCTAAACGAAGAAACATATTTTGAGACAATGGAACGAAGTTCGATTCGAATAATTTAGGCAGCAAAGAAAAAAAATCAATTGAAACTGTTTGGTTTTAAATATTAAAATGAATTTATTTTAGATCGAGACATTCAAATAATAAATAACACGTTTTGGTGAATTTTCTTCGAAGAAAAATAGCAACAGAAAGAATGTCTCAAAAGTGTTCAATTTGTCGTCTATCTGCAACAAAACACTGCGAAGGATTTAAAAAAGCAACTTTTGTCCGAAGGATTTCACAGAACATAAACAAAAACTATTTAAAAAATTCAATAAAGAAATAGTGGAATTTCACTGTGAACTGCTTGATGAATTAAAACAGTTAGAAAAGCCAAGTTCTTTATCATTGAATGCTTTTGCCAAAATCGAAAAATGGGAAAAAGAAACAATCGACAAAGTAAAAATGGTAACAGAAAAAGTTCGCAGTGGACTTACGCAACTAATTGACAAACAACGAACAGCAATGAAAAAACAACTTAAATCAATTAAAACAGAAATTGATTCTCATCAAAAAGATCAAAATTTTAGCGAAATTGATATTGATCAACTTAAGCGAAAAATCGATAAAATANTTCGGTGAATTTTCTTCGAAGAGAAATAGCAACAGAAAGTATGTCTCAAAAATGTTCAATTTGTCGTCTATCTGCAACAAAACACTGCGAAGGATGTAAAAGCAACTTTTGTCCGAAGAATTTCCCAGAACATAAACAACAACTATTTAAAAAATTCAATAAAGAAATAGTGGAATTTCACTGTGAACTTCTTGATGAACTAAAACAGTTAGAAAAGCCAAGTTCTTTATCATTGAATGCTTTTGCCAAAATCGAAAAATGGGAAAAAGAAAATCGACAAAATAAAAATGGTAACAGAAAAAGTCCGCAGTGGACTTACCCAACTAATTGACAAACAACGAACAGCAATGAAAAAACAACTTAAATCAATTAAAACAGAAATTGATTCTCATTAAAAAGATCAAAATTTTAGCGAAATTGATATTGATCAACTTAAGCGAAAAATCGATAAAATACAAGAAACCTTTCGACAGTTTATTGAAAAAGATGCAAATAAAGCCGTTATTGTTGATAATGATAAAATTGATTGGAATCGAATAATTTATGTTCAAGAAGATCTAGAAAGCGGTGAGTATTTTGAATCGATGTTGCACAAGTTGAACGGTTTCCTTATATTCTTTCATTTCATTAAGTTATCGAAATTAATTCACTTATAGAACAGAGTTACTTTCAAAGACACATAGTTTTCAAGAAAATTGAATTTAAATTTCACTAAAGTGACATGGAATAATTTTCATTGAAGGAGAGTTTTTCTACCGAAAATCTAAAGCTGCACGATTTCTACAACGGGCATCAGAATTCATATTTATTCTTTAGTAAAGATTAATTTAAAAACCGATCTACGATCGATTTCCGATGACATAAATTAGAACATTTGATATTTGAAAATCGAAGTAAATGCAAGATTTTCTTTTTGTTATCATTGATCAAAATTATCATTTTTGACAACGAGAAGAACATTGTACAAAGAATTAGAATTGAATAGAAAAATAAAATGACATAAAAAGTTTCAAATAGAAA